CTGGTGAGCTCCATCCTCCAAAAAACATTTGGGGAAATTTCTCCTTCCACTTGAGAAATTCTGTCCATCGTAGAAGTTCAGGTGGCCAAATGTACAAGTTCTAGACAGGTTTTTCATGATACAGAACTTGAACTGGATGGTGAAGAGTTTGTATTAGAATAATTCTTTTTTTTAAAAAAAAAAAAAGCCTTCCTGTATAAAATTTAATAGAAGTCTATTAATGCCAGTTCTTACACTAAGCCTGAAAAGGCAGGGGTTGAAAGGAAGGATAAGATTGCTTTGGGTAGAAATTCCAATCAATTTTTTGACATTACTAAAGTGAGATTCAAATTTACAATTGCTATGGTTCCATACAGATCAAGTTAAAATTGGCATACTGTGTATAATTAAATCCTGAAATTAAATAATGGAATTAACTATTCAAATTTGCTAGTTTGAGTTGACAAAAACTTCTAGATTTACAAACTGGTCATCACATCAAGAAGAGCTGTCAGTTTAGTGGAGCAATTGATACAATCCTACCCCAAAATGTTTGAAATGTGTCAAATGCTTGAAAATGCCTCTATTGTTGCTTGAAATGCCTCATGCAAAGATCTGCCATGGCTGCCTTCCCACCTCCTAGCTCTTTAGCATTCTTTGCTTCTTTTCCCATTTTTCATACGAATGGGACCTGCATTGCCTTCAAAAGTGCTTAAAGAGAGTCAAAATGATGTATTTCAGAGAGGAAGAAAAGACCGGCAACTTAAGGCCAAGCAATTGCTGAAATTCAGGGGAAGTTCTCAACCATAGGTAGGGCAAGAGTGTAAGTGGGCTGTAGAAGGCCTCTTAAACAACCTGTATGGATTGTGGCTTGGACCTTTCACAAGCTGGCCATCATCCAGTGGATCCCTCTTAATGGGGGGGGAGGGGTATCAAAAAAATTGAGATGGTGATTGCACAGCACAATTGAAGTCCCACTCTTTGTACATAAACTGACATTGCACATACACAAGGGCAGGGCTTCATTACTGTTTTTGCAACTGCCACCTTGACTTTTTTTTTCAGCTCCCCATCCCCCCAACACCTCTGGTATGAGCCCATTCCAAGCAAACAAGGAAGAAAAGACAATCCAGATCAACCGCTGATAACTACTATGGTGGCAAAGAATTGGGTTTTATCTCCATACAGTACTTCTATTCTTCCTTTTTTCCCCAGTGTAGATACTACAGGTCAGCTTCTGATTAAAGCAGTTTCCACGAAGCACATGCCTGTGTTAAGCTGTCAGGTGGAGAAGTCTAATGTAGCAGACCACTTTATGACCTCCTGAGCTTTAAATGTAGGTGTAGCATTTAAAGATAAAACCATAAACTTGTGCACCATTAAAACCCAGTTTCAGTGGCATATCTGTTCAAGATGAAGATACCTGCAAGCAGTGGCTGGTGTGAGTCTTCTGGGCTGTGTGGCCGTGTTCTGGAAGTTTTGTTTCCTAACGTTTCGCCAACACCCACAGAAGGGTCACATCACCCTGGGCACAGAGAGAACTGCTCCTGTCTGTGCTCCTGCACTCTGAAGATGTTGGTCACGGGTGCGGGGGAAACATTAGGAAACAAAACTTCAAGAACACGGCCACACAGCCCAGAAGACCCACACCAGCCATTGAGAAACACTGCTCTGGAGCTTTGAACCGCTGATTTGACGCATGCGCATGAATACCATCGAACTCTGGAATGAATTTCTAGGTGAATCTGCCAAGGATTCGCCGCAGGAATTGAACGGG